AAATGTAACAAAAGAGCTGAATCGACATACAGCGTACGCAATGCGTTCGCGGTAAATAAAACACCGTGACGTCAACAAATATATCATACAAGTATGCAATAATATATTTGCTTTAAGTAATATTTCTACCGATGCCGTTTCATTATATGTTGTACTGTGGAAATATGCAGGTGATAAATTCATGCTAGGCTATTATTCCCTTATATTTCTAATTAATTCAGAAATTGTTTTGTACAAACGCGTTGATGCCTCCGGTACATTGCAATGCTCCCGAACACCAATTTATAATTACTAAGCCGGATGGTTGTCTAAAATGAATTTGCTGTACTTTATGTGGATATTGTTGAACCCTAGTACATATGAAATGAAATGAACCTCAGGCGTATATAGAACTTACAAAGGATATTCGTAGACAATGTCTTTGTCTGAAATGCAGACCAAAACCGGGAAAGTGGTTGATCACAAGCAAATCAATTAAGTTGTTGCCAGGGTAACACCGACTGGAGCATGTACACCGTAAAGTAATTATCCGCTTTCTATGTCTCAACGCTTCAAACGATTGTACACTAACTAAACATATCAGTCAAATGCTGTAATATGATGTATTATATTTAATATGTTAATATAATTTATTAATTAATTGTGTGATAAGAATCTTACTTGCATTGAAAAGTGTGATAAGATTACCCAGTTTAGGTATGTTTAAAATATCTTGGCTGAAATTAGGTACATGTAGTATGGCGTGGTATTTGAATATCTCAAAACGGTAGATAAAATTAATGTTTCAATAAAATTAACCGAAGATTTCTCTTCAATTTCATTATACTGTTATTATACGTAAATTTTACTTTTCTGTTTTTAACTTCGAACAATTAAAATAATCGAGGTTATATATATATATATTAAATTGTTTTCTTCTTTTGCGTATTTTCAAAGTCTATTTCGTCATTTCTCTGTTGTAGTATTTTTATTGTATATTTGCTTGAATCAGTAAATAAACATTGAATACTAGTGTTTTCGCTAACGGTTATGTAGTTAACAGCTTTTTAGGGGTTGGGGATTAAGTAACATTCGAGGCTAGATCGTTCCGTCAAGCTTAAAAAATGTCCCATTTTAAATATTGGAAACACAGTTGGACACTCCAATTAGATGATATGAGAATAAGGTCGTTCTGAGAAAAACATTTCTCTCCTACTAAACGAGTATTGTTCAGGACAAAGAAACCAGTAACGGATACTGTTTACATCAAAGAAACAGTTCTTTCCTAGTAAACGCGCATTATTAAGAACAAAGAAATCAGTACAAAACACTACTTTCTTAGAAATTTTTTAACAAAATTTTGCTCTACTGAAGTTTAGCGGAGTGTTAGAACAATGGAGACAAGCCAAAAAGTAGTATTGTTGATGAGAATGTGAAAAGCGCATGAAATGAAGTGCAACAATGGTAAATATGATATCCTGTCATATACTTTCAAGACGTTCTGCTTCGGATTCCTAATAATTTATCGTAATCCAGTTAATTAACCGATCCTTCCTAGAATGTATAACATATCGCACAAATAGGTCGTAAACATGTGTATTGTTATCTATACTTGCACTCCCGAATGCACATGACTAATCGTGGCTACCTACACTAATTTAACTCTATAACACATCATTCACCTTTTCTAAACGTTCATGTGCCTACCAATCAAAATTATGTATGCCCAATGATTTTAAAGACTCAATGGCCGTAAAAAGTCACTGATTGACAGAAATCGTCTTTGCAAACAAAACGTGTAACACCCTATAAGTAGTCCGGTGCTTCACTTGTAATCTGAGTTATAAGGTACGTCAAACAAGAAACTAGTAAAAGCCAATAGGCAGTACAGTATTATACATCCCAAAACTAAAAGCAGTGTCTGTAGTATCCGACAGCAATATGGAGTCAGGTGTAACCTGTGCAATTCACGAGTCGTTCGCGTGACTGGGTGTGCTAGAAAATGTGTTTTCAATAATCAAAATGGTTTGAAAACACAATAGCGAAATTAACCATCTTGATCCTGGGCCGTGCATTGCCGTATTCACCTATACCTAAGCTTTCAGATGAAATACACTAGCTAGTTATAGTGGAATAACCTTGAACTAATGTCTTATTCACAGATCAATTATTACAATTAACACTACAATTACCTATTTATTTATTTTAAAATGACATTAAAAGTAGTACCATCCACATATTTTTATTTTCATATTGTTCATATTTTGTATTAATTGAAACAAAATATGACAGACATGAGTATATAAAAAATCGTAGAAACGAAGAGCGGTTGAATTGCAACATTCCGTTTCTCAATGACTATGACTTGTGTCCAGGCACATAATATAGAACTATAACATACGCTAATAAAAATAGTAACATACTAAGATTAATTATTATACGTGTATCTTTTCCATAAGGGTGCACCTTTCTTGTCGCTAGATTAGATGAATTAAAATACATATATTAACGTGCTGTTTTATTACCAGTCTTTATAAATTATTAAGTGATAGCAGGGGTTTAACCTGGTATCGGAAAACAATAACACCCAGTGTTGCTTTCCATCTTTCAAATTTGTCATTTTATATCGTCAAAGTTTCATAAATGGTAATTACTGTCTAACTTTTAAACGGTGGCCCACAGACGTCACATCATGTTTTATTTCTCGAAACACAAATTTAATTCACAAGCACACTTCCAGTGACACAAATTAATTTCTCCCTTGAACAACATTATTTTACAAACAAAACAATGCTTTAACTACACGCGATGAAAACTTATTTTTTTACAACACCAAATCCAATTTATCGTAACACAACTTTATTCTCACAAAACAAAATTTGAATTTAAAAAGGGAAAAACACCGAATACACGACAAGCTTTACATTCTCGCAACAGAAAATTAAGCTCATACACAAATTTCCTTTCTAAGACTACAACTATAATTTTCTAAAAACTTTGTTTATGGAAACGGAAGTTGGCAATATATTCCAGAACTCCCCGAGCAAATTGACCGCCATTTTGTATCGACTGCTAGTAATTGTATCTACGATTGAATTGCCTCTAGGGCACAATAGAATCTTGCTCTTAAGCACTCTACAGGCACAATTTCCCGGGGCATCCGGTTTACGGTACAGGCCACGAAAAACTACAAGTGACGACCGCGGATGTTTCTGTGGCATCAAACTGGATTGCGGAGTTCTTGTGTCCTCCAAGAAATGAATGAGATGAAACGTGCCCACTATTTGTAGTGTACGCTGAGAATAAAAATGCCAGTAAGTACACTATGTTTCCAAATTCTATGCATGCTGGTTTTAAAATATATACGGACTACTAGGGGATTCGAGTAATTTGTTGGCTATAGCTTGTCCCACAGAAAACTCAGGCGCTCGGGCCGTTTCTTGAATAATTAAAAGGGTCGACACATTTAGTCAGCCGCCGATACGTTCGAGTGTGTCGACGACCGGGATCGACGAATGTACCGGTGACTGATTAAGTATACCGACCGACTTTTTATTATCCTAGAGACGTACCGAGCGCCTGTGACAGGACGCTACGGTCATGAATATAGGTGCTTTGCCGTTCGCATGGCCACAGAGTTACCGAACCTCTGTACCGAACGTAGCGTTAAAATATCAATAATTGCATGGTTACTAGCCTACTGTGATCCAATATAGCTCCGAGGGAAGGGAAGGTAGTACTATGATGTTGTATCTTTTGATGCAACCACGTCACTATTTACGGTACCGTTTTTCTCAATCATATGTTTTCCCGGTTTATCGCTACCAATTGTTATTAAAGTGTGTACAATTGTTTTAATGAAATGAGCCATTATTTCAATGCTAATGGTATTCCTAATTGACATGACTTAACAGCGTGACGTCATCACTTGATCACGAACTTTCAAAAAGAAAAACGGTTTATCAATAATACTTATAATACAGAGTAAAACAATGCAACCCCACTAATTGAGAATGTATTTTACATATTTTCTACCATAAGCACTAATCTCATGATCGATATTAACGCGTTTTCAGTAAAATTCTTCACAACTCCCATGATTTATCACGGTTGAATTGGGAGTAACAATGGCATTTTACAAAACATTCCAAGGATACTTTATATTTTTTTACTTCTAATTCGCCAAAAACATAAATATGTACGGATGGCCCATTAATAAGCGGATATTTAGACAGAACACAAAACGATCTTCGCGCATGCGCATGCGATTGTTTCCCAGAGACGCTAAGAACTTTCAGTTTATGATTGTACGTCGATTTTGAAACACAAAACACGTTTCTTGCGTGTAATGTTTATAACACGTTTTACTGGAAAAGTTCACCACTAATAAAGTTTACTGCTTGAAAGTTAGTGTCTGAATAATGACGCGACAACGGTAAACGCTATGTTATCCGGGTAATAATTTCCTATAATTTCATTTTTACCATTAGCAAATATACTACACTAGGACTGTGAGGGCATGCTAAACGTGTATGTAGTCCGTAGATTTGTCTATTTAATGTCCGATTGTGTCTGTTGTGTTAATTGTTAATTCCACCCACAGTCAGTCTATTATATACGAGAATGAATCATATTGACATGGTTATGCCAACTTTATTGGTGTACGCCCGAAGTCGTGAAACAGTCATAGTAAATTAATGGCGGGCGTAGAAATAACATAATATATAAATGGCAAAACATTTGCATACCAACTCATTAGTAACACGCGCGTTGCGTTAATTGCCTCAAAACAGCCTCAAGTGAGATAATTATGATAAACGTTAGAAACGAATCAACATTTACCCTATGACAATATTCACATCGTTGCTACGTTTTAAAACTAGTTTTTATCGCTGATTTGTTTAATATCTTCCAATTCGCCACTCGCGATCGCCAAAATAACTCTACATTTATTTTGCTAAATAGCATATGCCAAATGTGAGGCCGCGAATCCGCGTGTCAGCCACAGTTTATTATTACCCATGGCGTCGATGGATAAAGGAAAATTAGTAATATTTGTATTATTAATCATGATAACCGGTTCCGACTTACAAGACGTACAATGTAAGTACACACACGTATATATAAATACAGAATTACTTGAAATTGATACTCCGTGAACAATACTTTCATCGCACGGAATCCCTTGCCTGTTTTAATGCTTGGCTATACATAGCTGTGAGTGGCCGGTACACCTGATGAAACTTGAAAAAAAAAGATGTCTGCAGCGACACTAAATTATATTGTTCTTGTTTGTGCTATATTCCTGTAGACGATCTCTGTGACACTGCCTGTGACGACGCTGACAGCTGCGTTCAGTACAATGAAGAGAAGTTCTGTAGCTGTCACATGGGTTATGAAGGAGATCTATGCGACGATCCCAACTGTAAGCAGTGAAATACATTTCTAGCCTACAATATTACAAATTGCGTCACAATGAACGATTTTCTTATTTCATTCGCGCAAAATAGACGGTAGACAATTAGACAATATTCATGCAATACAGTACACATAACATTCTATAATCATACATTATTTCATATTCTCTATTATAAGTCCGATTAAATATACATTTACTAGTAAACAAACCGGAAATTATTTGTTCGTAAACAAATATACAAGCAAGGTGTCGCCTGATTTGCGATTGGGAAAACTTATCATAGAAGAGCATGTAATTTTTTTTTAATTTGAACTATATAGCTATATGCTTCATGATTGGTTATCCGGTGACAGGTGGTACGTTTACTTTAAAGTGGCTTTGTTACTGTTTCAAGCTGCGAATGACTAGAAATTAATGATAAGTATGATGTATTGAGTTATTAATTATGCCGATTTTTTGTTGCAATAATTTAGAAACTATTACTAATTTCAGTTATGCGATGTGGAGGCAGTTTTCTGGGTCCCGGTGAGCTGACGACACCGGGTTACCCAGCACTGTACAGGAATAAATTAAAATGCGTGTGGTTAGTAATGATACCCGAAGCGGAGGAAATAGGATTTTATATGCTGGAATTTGACACAGAAGTAGATAAAGACTGGGTCGAGATCGGTCCGGGATCTGATAGCGATTCTTTCGATCATGACGTAATTCAACTGAATGAACTTAGCGGAACATTAGCGGACCTTCCTTCAACGAAGGTTACAGTTCCTGGAAACAGGGGATTCGTTAGATTCGAAGCGGATTTCACAAATGCGTTCACGGGGTTCCGTATTTCATTTAATGCATCGAAAGGTAAGTTTTGAATATCATCCGTCGATTACAAGACTGTTAATGATATAGAATTGTGCTTAATGGCGATGGAGGGGGTGCATGCAAATCATTCAAATAATAACTAATTAGTGACTGGATTTTCTTTTGTTCAATTCAAACAGGCAAGAATTATTAAATGACCAATTAAAAACATAAACATAAAGCATATACACAATATTGAACGGGACTCATAAATATAAAGAATTTACACACAAAAACTGTATATATGTTTTTAACAAGACAGGGATTAGGTAAAATTAATACTTCTGTACTCATTAGAACTGGTAATAATAAATTCATAGACTCCAGGTAAAAGTCTCGAAAAACATTCGTTAATACGGTTTAAACAATGCACGCTTTTTAGACGCCTGCTAAGGAAAATAGTCATGGATGTTATTATACTTATATAAAAACGACGAATCGAGCAGTACGTTTCATCGTGAATGAAGTATACGAGTGCTTCCACAAATCTTCGTAACTAAGGTAATTGGAAAGTGTATGGAATTCATAGCGAAACTATTTTATGAACTTGTCAATGTATACAATTCAACTTTAAACAATTAAACACAATTTATAGCAAGCGGAAGTTTGTAATTGTAGTTCCGGTAGTTATTCAATATAATCAGATATTTCGGTCAATGATACTTACTTAGTAGTATCTGAATAAGTTGAATGTGTACGTGACTATTCCGGTGATTTGAATTACAAAAAAAAGATATAGCGATACTAAATGTCACAAAGAACGAAGGAAAAAATTGAGAAAGCATGACTTTTGTCGAGAGACATTTATTTCCTATGGCAGCCATATTTTGTCACCTCATTAAACTTCGTTTCACGTGGTGCAACGAGTACATGTTATTTTTATAGCTGTCGTAGACAAATAATGTCATGACATTTAAAGTAATCTAACAATAATGTTGTGAAAACGGTTACGTGTGCGTTGTCCGAAAGCTGAGATGTAGGGGGTTATATTTAGGTCTCTAACTGCACAGGGGATTCAATTAAGACGTTTTCTCTGTTTATTTTTTTATATTGAAAATGATATCCGTTCTTTGCTCGCTTATGGGTAATGTTGTCGCCGAGGACAGACGTTAATATCAACACTATCTAAATGTCATATAATGTTATATATATTTATCGCTGAAGTATATATATTAAATCCGATTAATTTACTATAATTTATAACAATGACATTATCATATTCTGAATATAGAAAATGTGTTTTTGCTTTTTTGGGATGTGATATTACTACAGCTGGAGTATGGCTGTTTCGCGTCGAGATATTCGTCGCTGAATTCTAAGCTAGCCTTCTATTTTTTCAGTGGCTTCTGCGGACAACTGTGCAAGCAATCCATGTCAAAACGGCGGGCAGTGCACTAATACACCGAGTGGTTACGAGTGTGAATGTGCGGAGGGTTACACGGGAACTAACTGTGAAACGGGTAATTTTTTCACACCAATGTATATTTATTCGTATCAATAGTTTATTCACGCCAAAATCTCGTTAGTGATAAAGTCGCGTCGAGTACTAGTTATGACAATTATGATATTAAAATGATTTATTTTAATTAATATTATGTATGTTGAAGTAATAGTTCCTGCGATTGCGTGACATGATATACAGGCTCAAACTGTTAAATATGTATAATGTTTTAATAATTACCATAAAAATGAGATCAATATATCACATCGGCATATTTTTTTAAAAATATATTGATAAATATATTGATTGTTACATCGCTTGTTTGTAATGAACAGAGGAACTTAGACCAATACCGAAAGACGTAACAGTTACTGATATCACGTCCAGTACTGGCACTGTGACGTGGAGTGCGGTAGAGGGCGCTGACGGTTACTGGGTGGACTATTTTCCGAGAGATGGTACTATAACAGAGTCGCAATTCGTCAGCTCGTCTGAAGATAGAAGTTTCACATTTGAAGGACTGACTTCTTCTACATATTACAACTTCTCTGTGAGTGCTTCGTTTGGTTCTGAAGTAAGTGAGAAGGGATATGCTGGTGAAACTACCCGTAAGTAACTTCGTTATAACGATGATATTTCAGTTGAAGAGAATTACATTCTATACAAATAATGGCCACATTGAGAGACCTGTGCAGCGACATATGTGCTAATTCGTGAATCATTTTTGCCAGTGGAATTTAGGTTTATTTAGTTGTTTAGCTGTCGATTTGAATATATAGAATAAGGCATGAAGTCATTGTTAACCTCCGCCAAAGCGATTATGTTTTTATTGCAACATACGTCTGTCTGTCTGACACGAGAACCAACAAATTACATTTTGGTTGTGATGTGGGTGCGGCTCCATTTGATCAGTATTTTAGAACTGACTTCTATGATTGTTAGGAAGGGTTGCCCTGGTAACAAGGATCAACTGTTTGAATGTTTGTAGAGATATAAATTTGATTGACCTGTAAACAGCAATGTTTTAAATGACTAATCGTTGCAAGATAACGTTAAAAGTTAATATTTTACGGAGGGATTGCCTCCCATGACAAATCAAGCGATTGTTAACTAAATTACTAAAATTGGCCAAGAAACGGTATTATTCAAACAAATTTTCAGCATCCCGTGGCAATAGCAACAAAACATGGCAAGTGGTCAACGAAGTCCTTAATAAGTCTAATCGTTCAACCGTTCCACAGAAATTAATTTCAGGCAATTCTGGCAAAATACTGACCACTAGTTCAGATATTGCAGATGA